TACTTTTCGACTTTTCGTGTTTTTGGCGCACTTTTTGGAACTTCTCGGGATTTTCCGAATTTTCCACTTTTCTGTTGTTTTATTACTTTTCGACGTTTCGGTTTTTGTGCACTTTTCGGAACTTTTCGGGAGTGTTCGACTTTTCGACTTTTGGTATTTTTCGTTCCTTTTTAACTTTTCGCGTTTTTGCCTACTTTTTCGATGTTTTTCGGAACTTTTCGGGATTGTTCGACTTTTCGTGATTTTCGTTACTTTCTGACTTTTCGTGTTTTTGCCTACTTTTCGAAATTCATATTTGTTTAACTTTTCGACTTTGCTGTTTCTTGGCACTTTTCCAAACTTTTCGGATTTTTTCGACTTTTCGACCTTTCGGTATTTTTATCACTTTTCGGAACTTCTCGGAATTTTTCGACTTTTCGACTTTTCGGTTTCTCCGTTACTTTTCGAGTTTTCGGGTTTTTGCTTACTTTTCGAAACTTTTGGGAACTTTTCGGATTTTTCGGCTTTTCTAAATTTTGTGCTGCATTGCCAAAAACAACTGTTCGACGTTTCGGCTTTTCGTCTTTTCGGACAATTTTTGCATTTCTCCGCCTAAATCCGTGCAGAGCCCTTCGCAACCACAGCCTGTTTGAAGGCCCTGAACCCTGAACCCCCGCCTTGTCAACAAGTCTGGGATGGACTCGAAGTGGAGCACATGAGGAAAGCCTGGGTTTCGTAGCTAGGGTTGCGCGTTTAATGGTTCTAGGGTTTTGGGGTTTAGGGCGACTATGCGCCCCCCAGTTTCTGGGTCCCACAAATTATGGACCTTAGTAGGTATTGGGGGCTTAGGGCTAATTAAGGCTTATTGGGGCGTATTAAGCCAAACTTGGGGTTGCATATTGGGGGGGGGGGGGGCTTCAATCCTATAATGATTGCGTGCTAGGTAAGAGAAAGGAAGTTATCATAGAGAGCATTCGGCATTGGAAACTAACTTACCATATGATGGAGGTGCGATACTTAATGCCGTAGCTTCCTTTTCATGGTGCCTTGATGTCAGTTCCTTGGCACATGTTTTTTCCATGTGAGTCTTGGATGCGGCAATTTAAAGTAAGTCTCAACAACCACCTAACCCCAGATTGAGTCCGGTGGTTTCCATAAACAGGGAAAACCCAATCCAAACCTTGGGGATGCCGAAAACAGGACCCCGAATTTCCGGAAACCCCTACTGCATAAATCTCCACATCTCATTTTCCGCTGGATTCTCTATTATTCATGTTCTATCCCGAAACCCTAACCCTACATTTTAGGTTCTTCAACCCAAATTCCAAAACCTATGCTTATTCTTCCTTAGGTTATATAACCGAAAACAATTCCTAAGGAGACTACAGATCTTGGGGAATTTACGGCCTAAACACCCTAAGACCTAAACCCTAAAGCCTAAACCCTATTACATGAGTAAGGTCCCCCTTAAGTAGATAGAACATGGCTGTGGGTATATTATAATAGGATCCCCATATACCTCATATTCTATGTACTTCAGGGGGACTAACCCTAAACCCTAAACCATTTTCCCTAAACCCTAAACCCTATTCTATGTACTTAAGGGGGACTCTAGCCCTAAACCCTGAACCCTGTATTCTATCTACTTCACGAGGACTAAACCCTAAACCCTATATTAAGGGGGACTACAGCCGCAACCCAAGAAACGGAAGTAGTCAGTAAATGGCAGGATCTGATGTACGACGTCCACAGATCTTTCCTGAAAAGGCGTGGCCTGGGCGTTTAGGGTTTAGGGCTTGGGGTTCAGAGTTTGGGGTTTAGCGTTTAGGGTTTAGAGTTTAGGGTTTAGGGTTTAGGGTTTAGGGCTTAGGGCTTAGGGTGTAGGATTTTGGGTGTAGGATTTGGGTTTAGGGCTTAGGGTGTCGACTTAGGGTTTAGGATCTAGGGTTGAAGGTTGTTAAGGATTTAGGGTGTAGGGTGTAGGATTTAAGATTTAGGTTGCAGGTTTCGTGGGGGTCTTCGCGAAAATTCCGAAAATTGCTGGTTTTAAGTGGGGGGGGCATTTTAGGGTTCAGGCTTGTTAGCAGGGAATGGAGGACGGAAAAGAAAATGGAAACTACTATTTAGGATTGAGGGTTCAGCTTCGCAAGTCGGGAAAGAAAGATGCACAAGATCATGGAAACTACTACGTGGTCAGGCGTTATACAGGGGCCACACTAGCGATCCATTCCTCCATTCCCTTCTAGCAACCAGTAGGTCATAGGGAACACTACAGGCTCCTTACGGGGAGTCTTAAACGTTGCAGTTTCATATTCCTTGCTTGGTTTTAATACAAGGAATTTTACATCACATCCAATCTCGGCCCATCTTTTAGAGCGTAGGTTTCCAACAATTAGGGGTCCCTGTGTTGAGAGCACCCTATGACAACGATTTTAGTGTTTTGGTATATTCCGTACCCCGCTCAATCCGCTCACTGCAGCAGGCGGAGGAGGAGGGCAAGAAAGGAAACCCAATTATGGATTCGTTGCAGGAGGACCCGGGCAGAAGTGGGCCCCAACTCGGCGAGGTTCAAAGTTCCTACCGAGAGGGTCTTGTTCGAACAAAGACGGGTGGCAGTGGTGTTTGCCGGCCACGGCTGCGACTGTCCAGGTCTTATCTTCCTCGAAGCCCAGCGGTAATCGTAGGCCCCATGATCCTGCTGGAACAAATACCTCAGCTCTTGCTCCCTCCTCAAGAAAAAGTACACCTTTACCTTTTTGAAAAACCTGGGACCCCAAGCCCGAAGCTTTACAAGCGCTTTAAACCGCAAAACCCTAAACCCAAAATCCCTAAACCCTAAACCCTCTCCGACTCCAACCTCAAACGCCATTGGCATCCTTAGGTAGGTATGTTAGGGTTTAGCGCTCTCTGTCTTGGGCGCCTGTCGATAGGCTAGATAATATGTGTTGGGGCATTTATCGCTGCCCACTCCTTTCAAAGTCACGTAAAGCAAAAACAAGAAAACAAAACAAAGACTTGGGGATGCCAAAATACTTTGGCAAGTGGGAAGGCATGAAGATCGGCATGTTCATGCTGTAGAACTCATAAAAGGTGATGAGGTCCATGTCATAAGGCCACAGCACCACGGCGCGAAACTGTGCAAAGGTGCTGAACTGCTTATCCTGAGCTATGCTATCTGATCCCGTGTAGCGGATCTGGCAGGAGTACAGCCACGTAACAACAAGCAAGCATTACGGAAAGCAAGCAAGGCTGATGTTCTGAGCTCTGCCTCGTGCATTCCAAAAATGAACCAGAGAAGTAATGTAGGGGCTCCTCGTGTGAACCTCTTGCAAAAATAAGCGGCTATCCAAATGGATTTCATGCCGAGTTCGGGTCTCCAAAGTACCCGAAGTAGAACGATTACCGATGTATCCTCGTAGGCCCCAAAGAAACCCTATTTCCTAAACCCTAATCCCTAAATCCAAACCCCTTAAACCCTAATCCCTAAATCCGAAGCCCTTAGCCCTAAACTCCTCAACCCTAAACCCTGATCCCTAAACCCTAAACCCTAAACCTCTTAAAGCAAAACCCTACCTACCTGCATGCCCGGCATCTGTTAAGGCCCGGGTCACGAAGCGGAAGGGGAAGTCCGGGCTCATCGCCGCCCGCAATCGCCCCTCTGCTGTCGGCCACTCTTCAGAGGAAACCTATGGGCTTTGGGTTTACGGTTTTTGGTTTAGGGCTTAGGGTGTAGGGTTTAAGGTTTAGGGTTTAGGGTTTAGGGTTTAGGGCTTAGGGTTTACGGTTTTTGGTTTAGGGCTTATGGTGTAGTATGTAGGTGTCGGGTTTAGTATATAGGGTTTAGGCTGTGTGCTTTTTTTCGGTTTAGCTGCTCTAAATAGGGGCTACATGGGAATAATTAAATGGAAGAGATACTGGAAACTATTATTGGGGTATATATTGTCGGGGATATAAAAGGGCTTGGCGTTTGGGGTGATGCAGGGATTGTATGACATTAAAAGTGTAGCGCGGTGACAAGAAAATGACGGTCCGAATGCATGGCTTTTCGGGGTTTTCTTTCGGTTCTGCAAAACTGTTGCGGACGCCTCAAGTGTGGCTGCCGAAATTCCAACTGCAGGGTGTGTCAAGTCCAGCAGCACGGAAAGATCATGAGCCCCCTCAATCCCTAAACCCTAAACACTAAACTTCTAAACCCTCAACCTTAAACCCTTTTCCCCCCCCCCGGAACTCTACCATTCTCAAAATTCCGCCTTAATGGCCGAATCAAAGATAAGTAGGGGCGATCTGGGGGGATATGGCAGGGGTAGTAGGATGGTGGCGGACTCTTGTAGGCTTTATACTGCACTGGAAAGGCAAACAAAACAATTCTCGAAATTACTCATGTAAACCCGTTGAAGGGATCCCATAATCCCTTGGCAGTCCCTATGTATACCTCAATATGTTTTCGTAATGAGCTAGAGGCCTTCTCTGGCATTCCCTCTGTCATGCTCCGGCGGAGGAGGCACATCCTGAGTCATTCTTGGGATCAAGTAAATTATTCAGAGTTCGGGGTTCAGGACCTTTTGTGACTTAGGTCGCTATGGGAATAAAGCAATGCCCCTCCCCTGGCAGACATTGAAAAGTAGTTGCCGACTGTGTACTTTAGAGTGCTGAACCGTTGACATCAATGTATCTCCTTATGTAACCCTCATAGAACTTAAATCTACACCCTAAACCTATAACCTAAACCTACATCCTAAACCTATATGCTAAAACTACACCCTAAACCTATAAGTTAAACCTACACCCTAAACCTATAAGTTAAACCTACACCCTAAACCTATAACCCAAAAAGTTCCACAACGGCTCAGCATCAGTACTGACTCGTGTGGCCGGTCTAAGACCAGAACTTCCTCAGGGCGAGGGTTAGGGTTTATAGTCCCCATATTTAGGGTTTAGGGTCTAAGGGTTACGGGTTTATAGTCCCTATATTAGGTATACTAGGGTTATGTTAGGAATATATTGGGATAATGCAAAAGAAAATGGAAACTACAGTTAGGGTTAGGGTTTTAGGCCGTCTCGGGTTAACCTTAAATAGACAGAATATGGCTTTGGGTAAATTATACTAAGATCCCCATATACCTTAAGGGGACTATAGGGTTTAGTGTCTGTAGGGTTGACAGTTTAGGGCCTCATTAGGGTTTAGGGTTTAGGCTTAGGGTTTAGGGTTCAGGCCAGCTTCTTCTATGAATTATATAGGGGCTATACAAGGACAGTTAGAGATGTATGTAAAGGGTTTAGGTATGCCATCCCCGAACGAACTGGAATCCCAAAAGAATCCCATCCATAAAGACGGCTGTCCTTAAATAACAGAAGCTGCGCGTTGTAGGGCTAACCCTAAACGCTAATGTTCCAGGGATACTTGGGGGGATTTAGGGATGCGTGAGGTGTTTGATAATCAAACTCCGTTTACGCATGTGTGTCGCGGAAGTTGCTGCTGAACTTCTGCTTACTGTATCTTACCCATAAATAACCGCATTATAAACCGCTTTTATCCCATTATAACCCTAGCCTAACCCCTATACATCCCCATTATTATCGCCAGGTTTTGTAATTTCGCAGGGTTTCCCAATATTGTTTGGTTGCCGAAGATGCGGAGCTTTCTCAATCTCATAAGCCGAACAAAGTCAAGGGAACTATTCCGCGAGATCTCTGGGATCATTATGAGTTATGAAAGGAAATCTGCAACCCCTGTACACTTGCCTTTGCTGCCCCTGTTCATCCCAACCGAACTTACTGCTCCTCTGGACGCTGAGGGAAGTGGGTTGCACCAGTGTAGAGAGCGTGCGTGCGGATTGCAGGCAGGCGAGGAGCACCGATCTGGTACCTGAATGCAGGTATAACGCTATGCCCGTACGACTGGTACTGAGTGTAGTGACAAAATCAGAGTAGCAGCCATGCCGATGAATTATGCTGGTCGTAGTCCTCGGGGTCCTTTCGGTCTGGCTGCCGTCGTAACGATGATTTCTCTGGATTTCACAGGGAATTGATAGGGTGTAGCGTGTCAGGTTGCGGGTTCAGGGCTTAGGCAAGGCCACTCTCAGCAGTAGCACCCTCACACATTACTGCCGTGTTCTAACGAGTATTCTTGCTACTGCCACTACCTACTGCCCTTACCAACACTACTCTTGTTGCGACTACCCCTGCGGCTCCTTCTACTCCTACCTCCGGCGCACTCTGATCAGAAAGCCACAAGAAGCCTGAGCAAGGGTCCCAAGAAGAATCCTTGCACCTGAGCACAAATGAGAATAACGCTGCTAGACGTCCGTTACGCACATTCTTCCAGCATGTTGCGACCTCCTTGGAGCTCTGATTTTCAGGGTACATCTCCTGTAATCCTAAGCTCACCCCAAACCCTAAATGCCCATACGTGCCCTACATCTCCCTTTAATCATGGGTTCCCTCCACGGGTTGGCGGGGTGGTAATACAGGCGGGTGGTCCACGGAACCTGTGAAATAAGCAGCCTAGGAACTCATATTGCATCTGGAGGAACGGATCGCTCACGGCAAACTCTACCGATCTCGTCCTCATGGACCCTGTGGTTGGAGGATCTCTTGACTTAGTACGTCTACTTAGTGACAGGGTTTCTGGGGCCTAGAAGAGAGGCTATTGGGGATGTTAGGGAGACTTACTCAGTCAATAGATCATCCAAGTAGTCCACTGAGAGCTACGTTTTTTGGACTTGGGGTTTAGGGCTTAGCGTGGAGGTTCGCCAACAGTTTTTGTTGAAAGGCGCTTGGAGTATGACTCTCTTGTGGGAGGGTGTATATGAAGTCTGTTATATTAAGTCTGTTTGGGGGGTCTTTCTTCCATTCTTGAACCCTTGACCCTACCCAGCACCTAAATCATGAATCCTAAGCCCTAAGTACCTACGTAAGTCCTCATTGCGATTCCCAATTAGATTGGGGGAGGACTTTTATTCTGCAAAGTTTGCCCGAAATTGTTCAGGATCCTCTACGTTGCGCCGCCTAATTTTTTGGGGGAGAATAGCTAGGTAGGCCAAGGCTAATTCGCCTTCTAAGCCATGGAGAACCGCTTTCATCTAACCTGTCAGCCTCATGCACTAATCAGGGTCCTAGTCCAAGCTGCTCTTCATAGAATGCTAGGTAACGTTTGCCTCAAGGGTCTTCAGCTTCAGGATTTCAGGAGTCAGGTAAGGTCAAAATTTATGAGTTTCTTACTAGACCACTTGTTCGACGAGGCCAAGCAATGATTTTTGCCCTCAACCCTAAACCCTAGACCATAAATAGTAGTTTCCATTTTCTTTTCCATTATCCTTATATGCCCCTAATGAGGCTTAGGTCCAGCAGCAGCTTGAATCCTACATCATGCGAATGTTTGTGGGGGCTGAATTAGCCAAAAAAGATGGCCCTCGGTTTAGGGTTTAGGGGTTTAGGGTACTCTAGGGAATTCCATACAGCAAGAGCCTTTCATCTTGAAGGCACCTACATGGCTTTTGGTTTCAGGCCAGGTTTAAAACTATCGGCTTCCTCTAAAACAGTTTATTTGAGGAGGCCAGGCAATCATTTTTGCATCCTGCTTGCAAGCGGGTACTCACGGGTGTGTTTGGGGGTGTGTGGTGTCCGAAATATTTGCCCCCCACCCCCCCCCAGATTCCAGAAAGCAAAAGCCTTTGATTTTTTAACCCGCTGCGCAACGCTCCTCATATTGAGTTCGATGTAGACTAGCTACGAAGCTCCGCAACCTTCCTCCTGTGGAATTTGCCTTAGAGCGGCTACGGTAACCGTCCTCCTCTAGTGATTTTATTTGAAACTACGACCCAAACTTGGGTGGGGGGGGGCCCTACACTATAGGGGTCCCCATTTTCGTTTTGGGGGGGTCTGGAACACCAAGCGGGCCCCAACATTAAACCCCTGAACTGCAAACTCTACATACAGACAACACGTCCTTGCCATGGTCGAAAAACGACTCCAAAACCCTTCTCGCACGTCCGCGTCCTGGGATGTACCATGATGCGCTGTATGTTAGGGTTCAGGGTTTAGGATTTAAGGTTTAGGATTATGAGTCTCAAATACCCTAGGGACCCAGGCAGATAGAGGGATTTGAGGGGATTGCAGGGGTTCCTTTAGGGATTCTTTCTAAGGGATTATCTTCACAACTCACGCATGTAGTGTTCAACTATTATTGAATTTGCAACTTGGCTGGGTTGTCATCTGGAATGTACGTGCTTGAAGCATCTACACGCTTACTTAATCTACGGAGTCTTTTCGATAGCTTGTACAACGGATGTGCGGTGGAGGGGCTTTCACCTGAGGTGGACGTACAACCACAAGTGGACCATTCGATTTTGCTTAAGATCTACCCCTTTCCAGGATCTACCGCCTAACCCTAAACCCTAAGCCCTAAAAAAACTAAACCCTACACCCTCAACCCCTTGAGCGCCATCAGGGATCATCAGAGACCATGAACAGCAGTGGGTGCCCAAAATAGCCGAGGGTTGGCACATCCAAGGTCTCCACGAGCCTGAGTGTAGGGTTTCGGGTTTGAGGTTTAGGGTTTAGGGGCTAATACCCCGTAAACCCTAGACCCTTAGTAGACCCTGAACCCAACACCCCTGAACCTTCACCCTAACCCAGAATGCCCCAAAAGTAGGCAAAAGTAAGCAAGCATGCCACAGAAAAACCTAGAAGCAGGCAGAGATAGGCCACCGTGCAAAGGAAGAGGTCTACAGACTTCAGGCGGTCCGCTGCCACATGAAGAAAGTCCGTCTGAAAGGCTTCCATATCCTGGTACCCCCTTAGACCCACAATTATGATACTGCTTGGAACAATTCCTTGGGGGAATACTGCAACAAAACCAAAAAGAAGCTAAGAGGATGGGAGCATCTTGGATGGGATCCTTGGACACAGCACTGTGCGGTATCCGCATTCTGAACAGATCCGTGATCTCGTCCCTCGTTTCATCACACACCAGCCTAGGATGATGATAGAGAGTTGAACAGCGATTGGGGAGCCACTTCGGGTATTGGTCTTGGATGAGGTTCCGGTGGCGCAGCCGGACTTCTGTCAAAATTCGCGCCAACATCTGAATCGGCTCAGCCGAGAGCGTGGCATGAACACCCATCTCCCAGACCATCAGGACAGGCTCCTCGTTGCAAGGCTTATCGGCCTGGATCCTCACAGGATACTGATCACGAAGCTCTTGTGGCAAAGAAAACTGCTCATGCTCTAAGTTCGCCAGGATGTCCAGGGACGTCAAGGTCCACGCCGAGCCCTCCATGAAGTCCAGGGCACTGCGGAAGACTTCTCCCAACAAGAACTGGGCGTGGCGCAGTAGCTGTTTGCCTTTGGGGTGCCCATGGCGCGCGGACACCCAAAGTGCTGAAACCACACCGTAGAGGCAGAAAGGCTCCAGGAGTTCTGCTACTGCCCCAGGCCGTGTGTTGCAGCTGGCAAAAAAACTCTGCATTGCGAAGGACATCCCGTAAAGGGCCTGTCTCAAGATTCGTGATTCCGAAGGCAAGGGATGGCGGTTCCAAAAAAACTCTACAAATGGTTGATGGTTTACGAAGACTTCGCGTGAAAACCTATTGTCTGCACACATACGTGCCTATTTATTCAAGAATTAAGCAAGTAAACCTCTAGATGCCTTAATCCTCACCCTCCTAAGTCCCCACAACTTTGCTCGTTAAACACATCCCCCCCCCCTCCAAGCCCCACTAAAATCAAATAACAAGACCCCCTACACCCCAAACCCTCGACAACCCATAAACCCATAAAACCTCGATCCCCTCAGCCCTGAGCCCTGATGCCCCTAATCGGTAAAAGGACCCCACAATTTGAAACCTTCCGCCTGTGGGTCTGGCTGGAGAGCTTCACTGTGAGCCTGCAGCAACTGTTGGGCCACCTCTGCGAGCACCTTCACAAAAACCCACGCGGTTTAGGATTTTGGTTTTGGGGTTTAGGGTTTAGGGTTTGGGGTTTAGGGTTTAGGGTTTAGGGTTTAGCGGTTGGGGTTTAAGGCAAAGCTTAGGGCGTACGTTCTGAGTTTAAGGATTAGAATTCAGCGTTTAGGGCAAGATTGGGGGTTCAGGTCTTGGTGATTTGGGGATAGATTTGGCAACCCTAAACCCCAAACCCTGAACCCTAAATCGTGTGGCTCAGTAGTGTCTCGAGTCGGTCGTTCGATACAGGGGTGAGAGACTGCCACGATGGTTTAAGGTTTGGGGTTTTATGGTTTGGAGGTTTCTGCGGTAACAACACACTGTAGGGATTATTGGGCTATTTGAGAGCTGCTTAACAATGTAACATGAAAGCAAAAGGTGGAAACGCAATCTTCCTTGTGGCCCAGAGGAACCCCAAAATGCCACCATCAGCCCTAGAGTACTACAGGCCCGCTTCGGCTACATGCACCATAAGCTTTGCAAGGTCCAAACCTGAAACTCTAGGCCTTCATAGCCTGCCCCGACTAATAGCCCCTCTTCACACACACAGACCCCAAGAACAAGTATTTCCGGGTATTATTACAGGCCTAGACCCTAGACCCCAAACCCTGAGCCCCATTATTAAGGGAAGAAATTGGACCATGTCGTCCCGAAGGTTTTGGACCCGGCCTGGTCCTCTGGGTAGCCCGCCTCTGCATTCTGCTGCAGCCTCTCGCGGAAGTTGCTCCAGTCCTTAGAATTTAGGGTTTGAGGTTTGAGGTTTAAGGGCCAGGGTTTAGCATCATGCTATCATAACTGGCACTTACAACCCGACTAGAATCATATTAGGGGGTATAATGACCTTGAACCGCCACGTACAATAGATTTCCAAAGGAGACCACATATGGGTCACATAGACCCCAAAGAAGGATCCTTAGTAGGGCAGTATGGGGGAAACCCAGATTTCTTAGAAGGTCTGTCCGGATTGAGGCCCATGGGAATCTACGCTTCCTAGGGGTTAGGGCTTAGGCTTGAAGCTTTAATTCTATTCACTGTGAGAGCTATAATATGCTTGCAGAGTGGCAATACAACACTTCACCCTATCTCTTGACAATGGAACCCCAACTCCTTCAGAGGGTAAGAAGGATAATAACGTGAAATCTCATACGCAAAGAACTTCAGCGACCCAGGATCCGGATCCCAGTCACAATCCAGAAATCCAGCACAAGCCAAGCCCAACGCACAGGCCAGCAGCTGCCATTGGCTAAAACTGCTTGTTGCCATTGCAAACTTCTTTTCAGTACTACTGTGGAGAAAGAATACGCAAGCATCTCAAAAAAAAACGAAAGCCAGCTGGCATATAGGAGTTAGCGGACTTTGGGGGTCAACCTAGGTGTTCCAAAACCATTTTGAGAAAGAGCTATAGAAACACCAACGCAATGCCTCTTGTCATTGTATGTGGTATTTTCGAGCCGGCATCCTGGGCAACGGGGAACACACATCTCTGCCCACGAGAGCAGGAGTGAAGAAGGGCTCCCAAGACACACCAAGTCGAAGACGAGGATGAGGCAGCAGAGAGATAAAATGCAGTACAGGCAAGAAGAGAGGTGGTAGCAAGAAAAAAATCTAGGCATCCCAACGGCAGCTACAACCTTCATTGGCCCTACTATTTCGAGGGTAGCAATACTCCATACTATGTGGTAATAATCATCGTAGTAGCAGTATCAGTGGCGGTAGCAGCAGTAGCAGCAGCTGCAGCACTAGCAGCAGCATGTAGCATGTAGCGTGTAGTATGTAGCATGTAGCATGCAGCATTTAGCAGTAGCAGTAGCAGCAGTCGTGGCACTGCTGATTTTACAAATAATAAGAAGAATACTATCTTGCAGTGATATCATTGCAGTATAGCAGGCGATCAACATCCGCATCAGTGGCAAGAGTGCTCAGCCTTCTCGCGGTTACAGAGCACCTTATCCTCAGCACAGTCCACCTGCATTGACAATGTGCTCCCATGACTTGAAGTTTGGGATGAAATTGGCAAATGAAAAAAGAGGTACATGAAATTCAAACAGAAGCTTATGCGAACATATTGGGCTTAGCTTGCAAAGTCGGCTTGAAGCTTGCGAATGGGGACTGAAGAAACGGAGCCAAATTCTTGGGGATTATCCGGGGCTACTCGGGATCAGTTCCTCCATCCCTACTAACAACTAGCGAGTCTCGGGGTCCTCCAAATCATGGTCATGATGACCAGGGTCCTACTTGTTTAAATGTATGTCAGAAGTCTGGGCCGTAGTTGAATTAACTCGCACCCTGCTTGTACCCAAATAACGTTCTTCATAACCTTTTTGAGATTTTGGGTTCCGTGTTCGGAGCGGTCTGTCTTTAATTCGATGGATGCAGGAACCCTTGACCACCAACAATGAACACCTAGGCAGCTCTTGAAGAATCCCGAAGCGGGAACCCGAAACCTCTCTTGCCCTGGACCTTAGGGGTTTAGGGTTCAAGGCTGCCACCCAAACCTTCAAACCCGTCACGATAGACCCACGAATCAGCTCATGTGTAAAGGACCAGACTGTGGTGCGAACTGGGTCAAGGGGACTTTATGAATAAACATGTATCGGATCTAGGGGGACAGTATCGGATCACCTGGCGGGATCCTCTGTGAGGAGATTTCAAGCACGAATCGGATCAGGAAAGTAAGATCAGGTAAGCATATATTACTCTACCCTAAACCCTAAGCCCTAAACACGAAACCGGTGTATGCATGATCCGACATCCCGAGCTGCCACGCGCCTAGGGCCGATCCTCTGGGCTGCAAGCACTTTGATCTGTTAAGAAGTTCCTGCTGATCTGCTACGCTGGGCCGTTACTCGACGCCTTTACGCCCTCTGAGCTGATACCTGCAGGCTTCACCCTGAACATCCCCTGACCCTGAACCCTAAGCCCCAAAACCTTGAACGGTATACCCCAACTTCCATTTTCTTTTCCATTATCCCTATATATATCCCTAATATACCCCTATATATATCCCTAATATACCCCTAACATAACCCTAATATAACCCAAAATATAGGGACTATAAACCCTAAACCCTGAATATGGTGATTATCAATCAACCCAACCCTATAACCCCTGAACCCTAAACCCTAAACCCCTGAACCCTAAGACCCAAAACCCGGAAGGCTCAAGTCAAGCCCTCGGGCCTCCGCAAAGCGAACTCGCGGCTTGAAGATGGCATCCTTTTCTAGTGTTTAGGGTTTAGGGTTTAGGGTTGAGGGTTTCGGGTTTAGGGTTTGGGGTTTAGGGTTTGGGGTTTAGGGTTGAGGGTTTGTTTAGGTTTTAGAGTATAGGCTATAGGGCTTAGACACGCGCATCGCACAAAGCAGGCACGGCTAGAACTGTCCCATCCCGTCAAGCAGCTCATTGACTGAACTACCGGTTTAGGATTTTTGAAGAATGGAATGGAAAAGAAGATGAAGAAGATATGGAAACGAAGCCTATTGGATTAGATAATTGCCAAATTTTCTTGCCATGTACAAGTAGAACATAATGTGCCCCTAAACAGCGTCTAATCAGTTAGGTCCCGACATTAGGAACCTTTAGTCTGCTGTTACGGAATTCAAATTAAGTTACCATAATGGGTAAATGTAGTAAATAACAGGCTTTCCCCAATACGGTAACTTATTAGGTTCCTTAACAGTAACCCAGTATTGGGGGCTTAAGGTTTAGGGCTACACAACCTCTATTCTATTCCCCACTTCATTCTCAATGATTCTACTAGTTACTTCTGGCATCCTTGTTGAGCTTCCCGTTGAGGATGTTGCCCTGTCTCCTTCAGGCTGGCCGAGGGTTTAGGGTTTAGGGTAAAGATTTTCGGGATTGCTTGGAGGCCCATGGGACTTAGTAACTAATTATAACTGCGATTATAACCCTACTTATAATTGGGGTAACCCCTATAAGCCCATTTAAGGGGATTCTAATTAGGGTTATAGTCCAAGTAGTTACTAAGTCCCATGGGCCTCCAAGTACTGGTGGTTAGCAAGGAATGCAACTACTGTTGGACGTCCGTCTCACGGGTTATGGTCGAGGGCTAGGGTGTAGGTCTTAGTATATGCTTACCTCTGGTTGGCAAGGAATTACGGAATGGATCATTATAGTAGTCCTCAAGTAATCCCTTCCCCATTCCTTAAATCCCTTCTAACCTGAGGTAAGACCCCTATATGGACCATAGTCTTAACTCCTAGTATCCTATCCCCCTTCATGACCCCTATAATACTCTCCTATATAATCCACTATGCAACCCCCTGAAAGGAGTTTAGACTGTGGCTTACTAATCCGCGTATACCCCTTTAAAGGGATCTTTCCGGCGTCTGAGGCCACTGGCATCCCACTTTGTGTCCAGTCGCTTCGGGTTTATTGCCATTGCTTAGGGTTTGGGGGGGCATTGCGGCTTTGAGATTTTAATGTGTTAAAACTTTTGGGTTAAGGCAAAAGGACCCCTAGTAATGCTAACTTTGTCTCGTGAGGGTTTAGGGTTTCAAGGATGTGGGTTCAAGGGTTT